AACTTGCAAAATAATACAAAAAACCTTTCATAAAATTATGATAAATGAGATAAAAAAGCAAGTAAATAAGAATGATAAAGTGTGCGTAAAATGATGTAAAATTGACTCATGTCAGTGATAACCAGTTGGAGTTTTAGTAACTGAGTATCAACGAATGTTTTTGTGCTTCGTTCCGATCATTGAGGATGTGATCCTGGAGGGATATGGTGGTTGGCTATTTTTAGTTGATCAACTATTGATTTTCACTCGCATAGGTTTAAAGAATAAATGAAATGTTCACTTTTAACCGCTTGCGTCAAGGTGGTTTGCGCAATCAAAGGCTCTTAGTTTTAAGTTTCCAACATTTCATGCTAGAACCTTGTGATGTATGAGCGAAGGGTCTCTCATTCTGTTTCATCTTCAAGAGAGCCTAGAACTTCTTTCATGGCTTCTGTTTGGTGAGGAAGTTAGCCATCAATAGCCTTTTGAAATTAAAGAAAGAATGGAATAACTCCCACTTGGAGGGCATTAAAGCATTGAGTGGTTCACTCCCTCAATGTGGTAAGGAACAAATGACAACTGAATCCGTCAAGGATTTTTAATTTACCAACTGTTAATTCAAAAAGTAGCTAAATGATCAGCTAGGCCTGTGAGAGCTTTATACGAGTTGAGGTTGGGGGTCTTGAACTTCTCTGGAGGTTCAGCATCAGAAAATTGTGGAGAGAAGGAAATTTCGGCATTGCGAAGGGCTCTGGTTTGCATGGTGCAATGTATTTCCCTTGGCGATCCGATGTTATCCTGGTAATGGGAATCGCCACTCCTTTATTCATTTGGTTGGGATTTTTAGCCGTTAGGTTTTGGTCCATCTTGGCGATCGCTGGTCTCTGGTCCATTCAGACGATCGAGCTCTTAGTGACTATGTTGTTGGGGGTTCTCGCTCTATGGGTTTTGGCTTCCTCTAGCTTCTTGAAAAGCTCCTACAATTTATTCCCTCATTTTTAGCATCAATAGTTCTTTCATTTCCATCACTTGCTACCACACAATCTCTCTTGTGTTATTCACTTCTATTGTTTGGCTCCGAGCTTCTTGAATGGATGCTTTGGCATTGCGTTGTGATCTTCTTCTTTTGGCAGCATGATTCCATGCTAACTACACCTTTTAAGGTGTTGAACACAAAAGGGTCTGCAAAATCAGGCCTAAGAAATAGAGCGTGAGATTGAGAGAAGCTAGGAAGCAGAGAAGAGGAGAACATTAAAAATAGAGTATCAAACCCATTTTTTCATAAAGTGTTCTCCTGTTTTTAGGTATAGGAAAGAACTGTAATAATAATTACATATAAGTGCCCCCTTCATGTACAAAGAGGCTTAGGTGCATTAAGGTAAGTTTTGTATAATACAAAAATGATAATAATTTTAAAAAATATATTTATAATAAATCTATTGATCGGACATGATGGCTCCCGATCCTCAGCTCATTTTTCGGTCGTTCGGTGATGGCAAGGCAAAACAATAGGGGACGAGATAGAGATCTCTTGATTAAACAAATCTGCTGATTTGCTTCTTTCTCCGGTCAACCCACTTTGTTCGGCTTGATGTAGAATTGTTCTTTGCTCGGTCAGATGTGGTGTTGTCCTTCGTTTGGCCGAGTGTGTATTGACTCTTTGTTGGCAGTGTGTCTGTCAGTTGACTCGCCGATTGAAGGGAACGACGACTTGTTAAAGCCTTGAGATACTTTCTTCCTATACTTGACACCAACATTTACTCTAATAAGTTGAATTAACATTTGACTATTTGTTCATGGGTATAACTTTATTTGACAAATATTTGCATCTTTCTTTGAGATTCGTGCAGTTTGGATCTTGTTATATAGGTAGATTAAAGAGATTAATTTTAGTGGAGGCATAAACTAATAATTTTAAAAATACTTATAATCTTTTTCATGCCGGCTGGGATTGACATTAGCGGTTCAAAATCTCTTAAATAAATTTTAAAAATAATAATAATAAAAACATAAATGAAGAAAAAATGACATCCATCTTCTTGAGGAATACAATACAAAGGATAGATAAATGACAATTATATTAATCAATCTTCAAAAGAAAGAAGAAAAAGCATAGCCCTGAATCAGATGAGAATTAATCATATGATACTCTTTCTTAGGTTGACCAATCAAAATTGTAATCAAAATAATGATGCTCACAAATACGATTTCACAATACAAGTACACATCACATTAATCTTAATTGACACAATCACTACGCTTAACGGCAAAACAGAGGCCGACAAATAACTCAAAAAACATGGTTTAATATAGAAATCTTAGAAACATTCAATAGTCTCGGCTAAATTGGAAACATCCAAGGAATACCATAAATGATAACACCACATCCAGGTTATTTCGGCCTTCAAAATTTCCGTTTGATTAGTTCATTGAATTCGCCAAAAAATAAAAAAATATAAAATGTTTGAAATCAATTTTATTTCCTTTTTTTTTTAAAGCATGTTTGCGTCATTGCGTGTCTTTAAAATGTTCTTTTTTTCTTATTTCAAAAATAAACAAACTAAGTTTTTGACCCACGTATTAATTTATGAGTTTTTTTTAGTGCTTTTAAGAATAATAGTATCTTAATCAAATATATTAAATAAAAATAGAGAGTAAAAAATAAAAGTGATGCCTAAGGGTCGCTTAGAATATACCAAACACTTTGTCTCTTTATTCCCCTCCAAGTTATGTTCTATTGCATTCAATGCGAGTTCTGTAAAATAGGGAAAATTGTTATGATCGATTCTTGTGCTGATCTCCGCCCTTATCCGCACAAACGATACGACCGGAAATATTAATTGTCCGTAAAATATGCTCTCTAATTTGAGTGTGCACAACACGACCGGGTATAAATTATAGAAATCCTCCCACTTACAATTAGATATCTAGACAGCACGGTATTTTACCCAATGAATAAATTACCAGAAATGAACGAGGAAAAGAAGGGAGGCGGGATTTAGGGGTTTATTTATTTATCTGGGGCAAAACATTCAAATAAAAATAGAATTAACACCCGCCCAATGAGTCCAAAGCATGAAAAAATTATTGTATCAAGATACCCGCCCAATGAGGCCAAAGAAGGGAAAAATTATTGTATCAGAAAACCTGATGCAAATATGTATCTGATGCAAAAATTTCTCCAAAAGGGGAGGAAAATAGGAGTTTAGGAGATCTTTGTACGCCGTGACTCCGCTATTGTCTTCGGAGGTTATTATAGGCTGTGATCCCGTCGAGAAACATGAGCTTCCTTATTTTCAGTTGGGATCGGAGTAGGACGTGCTCGTGTGATTTGTAGGTGGGATGAGACTGATAGAAAAAGCAAGGTAGAAATTTCATAATATATTTACAATATAGTGAAGTGATTGAGGTGTAGCCTTTGATAATGAGACTACTAACTTTAATTACACGTATTATTTGCCTTTTTGAAAAAAAGAAATTTCTGAGTTTTTTGGACAGCCATATTTCAGGACAATGTGGAAATTCACTGTTTTTTTTTTTTTGACGGTACTGGTCGGTGAGGACGTGCTCGTGGGTAGGTTTTACCAGTTTTTCTTTTTAACCCTAAATTAAATGTAAGAAACGTGATGCAACTTTGCATCGTATTGCGAGCTTTTTGAAACTCCGCTCGCATACTTATCCAAAGAAAAACCAGATATATATTTCACTTGCCATTGTTTTTAAAATGACAATTGCAAGTTTAATTAGGCTGCTACACAAGAAAAATAGTTCCGAATGCCTTTTTATCGTTTTTATTTTTTGACGAGCGATGGATAAAAGTTTCTTTTTTTTCGGGAGAGAAAATGAAAACTAAATCTCGAAAAATATATATATATTTGTTTGCTTTAAATAAGATAATTTTTAAGAATATTAAAAGAGATATAAATAATAAGTGATAAGCTCAAAACTAATGAGTCCACTTGCATGCACGCATATTTAGGAAAAGTATTAAATCAGGTGAAAATAATATATAAAAAAAAGTAAGATCGTGCTATATTGTGATGATATCGTGATTTTATGATTGTATTGTGATATTATTGTTGTGATATCTTGGTGCTGTTAGAGTGATATTGTAATTTATTATGATGTTATTATAGTGGTATTGTGATGTTATTGAAATGATATTGTGAATGTATTATGATACAATTGTGGGAGTTTTATGACGTTCTAAAGATGTTTTTATAAAAACAATTTATTTTTCAACTAAAATACATATTTTTCTTTTTTTTCTTTTTTTTTATTTTCAATCGATCTGCACTTAACAAATGACTAAAAATTATTGGGGGAGCTACTCCTGATGTAATATTTTTTTCATATATAAGGCCCTTCACAATAAAAGCAATCTCAAAAAGTTCATTATTTGTAAAGCTTTTTTTAAATATTCGGGAATAATTTACTTAAATGTGCTTTATTCTGACAATCTGTTCATAAAAACCTATTTTCATCAAAAATTAAAAAAAAAATCTAGAAAATAAAAAACATTAAAAACAAAAAACGGACCTTCGACTACCCTGCCGACGCAATGAACCCTTTTGACTAATCAACCCGTGTTACAGGTCGCAATTCAGCTAAAATATATTAAATTTATTGCCTGATCCTTAAAGTCGAAGCAAATTAGTTCTTCTCTAAAGCTACCGGTTGGTAGGTGGGGGCAGTACGTTCACACAAAATCAATGAAGTTGCAGGCCACGGATCAAATCAAATTGCGAACAAAGAGTTCTCAAAACACAAATCAAATTATTAATCCAACACAGGATACTGCTTTTATTGATCACGCAATAATACATAAACCAAGGCAAGAACAAAGCAACAGGAGAAGATATGAAGTAGAGAAACCTCCTCCTCATCCTCTCCGTCGCTATCTAGATCTTAAACAACAAGCACCACAAACACACAGAACAGAACAAAACAGAACAAATCAGAAAATTAAAAGTAACAAACTACGACACACTGCAAACGGAGGGAGCCTCAGCCCATGCAAATCAGATGGCCAGGACAAGGCCCGGAAGAGATTTCCCAGCGTTGATTGAAAGCCTGCTCTCCCAAACGGGGAGGCAATGGGAGGCGGCCGCCGCGTCAGTTGCCACACGTGTGACGGTGAGGGAAGTGTTGAAGTACTCGCGGACTTGAGTGATTACCCCATCGGAGACGGTCCAGGCGTGGATCCAGAGGAGAGAATGGGTGAGATCGGTGCCCTCAGCGATGACGGTGGGGCCAAAAGCGTCAACGGAGTGGATGACGAAATGGAAATTGTCGTCGTCGCCGGTGAGGAGGCGTTTCATGTGCTGGTGGGAGCGAGGGCCATGAAACCACAATTCCAGATCAGGGGCGAGAAGGGATTGTGCTCGCTCTGCGTCGCGCTGGCCTAGGGCTTCATACAGCTGAAGAACTACCTGTCGGTTCCGTTCATCTATGTCCGACGCCTCGATTTCGGTGATTTCCGCCAGTTCCGGCCTAGCCTCCCGGGCTTTTGCGAGAGAGAATGCGTGAGAAAGAGGATAAATCAGAAACGAGGACCTCACGAGGGAGAAGCGGGATGAAAAACGGGAAGGTAAAGTGTGCTTTTATAGGAAAAAGGGGTTGAAAATTTGGTGTTCCTCTTATGGAAAAGTAATAACTATTAGAGATTATTATAAAAAATTTTTAATGAGAATTAAGAATATAAAACTATAAGAAATTATAAAAGAATTACTAATTTCGCCTTCTGCAAAAAATTAATTCAAAATGTTTTAAAAGAAATTTTGCTCGACAGTTTAGTATAAGTTTACATTTATTTTTTAAATAAATTTAATGCACGGATCATTAATATTTTACTTATCTAAAAATAAAAAAATAAAATTGAGATTCTTCTTAATTAATGTTTTTTATAAGCAAAAAATTTAGTTATAGTTATTTCTTAAATATAATTTAGTTTTATCTTACACAGCCCTTGCATTGGAAAAAATATTACATCAGGACTCTGCATGTAAAATTACGTGCAGAATTCAATGAAATCACGCCTACTCACGTGAAGGTGAGAAAAAAAATTTGATCAGTAACACAGAGAAATATTTTTCTTATGTTATTCAAGTGTTATTGTGTGTTATTCAAATATTATTGATTTGTTATTATGTTATTATAACATCATGAATATTCTCATAACACAATAACACATGAATAATATGGGGGAATATTTCACTGTGTTACCTGTGTTACCGAGAATATTCCCCGTGACATGATGTCAGTGGACTCCGCACATAACTCTATGTGCGGAGTCCTGATGTAATATTTTTTCTTTACATTGTAAGAATTTTAGAGTTTTTTTCTAATTTAAAAATATTAGAATGTAGTGACCTTTTTTGTCCCCCATGTAAAACATACAGATTTAAAAATAGAATATAAAAAAATATAAGAAACGAAAATTATGATTGTTAAATGTCGCAAGTTTGTTGATCAACATGATTGGGCAGTCAATTATTTTACGGTGAATTTATTCTTCGCTCGATTTTGTATTCAAGAAGTTGAACAAACTTTTCTTATTATTTTTATTTTGTTAATGCAACCGAAGTTAATTAGAAATATATAATCAATTGACTGTCATCATATTATGAATTTTAGCCTTCCCCTTCGTGGGTGTATGGAGGAGGATATGAATGTGGTTCCTCTCCTGGCACTTGACCTACTCTTGAATTTTTTTCCTTAGCTCCATTTCTTTGATGAATTCTAATCTATACCATCATAACTTACTACGATAATTCCTACTTGATGCGAGAGATGATCACTGAGCTTCAGTATCTCAGAGCGGCATTCTTGGCGATGATGTTTCAAGAGAGACCGAAGTTGGACAATAAGGTGTTGGCTGGCTTGTAACCCAACTATGTTTTTGATGATGCCATGATTCTGTAACTGGTAATAGATAACAAAGCATCGAATACTGTATGAAAATGAGGTTTTCTTTTATTATGACCAGTTCAGATTAAGTCTTCATTTTCTTCTATACGGAGAGTTGATGGACATCTTAAACTGTTATGGGGCAGTGTTTGATCAGATCCATCCAAAAAGATTTATGATGTTGATGTTAGTCATCATGTTTCTATGGTTAAAGCGGTTGCATTGCTCGGTAAATCTTCTGTAACACTCCGTCACGTAGAAAGCATATACTATAGGCATAGTGATTTTCTCCTCCACTAAGGTGAGATGGTTGAGTTGCTTGGGAGGAATTCACTCCACCTTCCACTCGAGGAGGTTATGGCATCCACTTGAAAGTGGGTAAACACATTGATCCAGTCACCCCACTGCCTTCTTAGGGACTATTATAAGTTGGAGCCTACTATTGAAAGGCTAGAAAAGAAAGTCATGGACTTGGAGAAGCAAGATGAAATTCTTAGTACCTATGCAGGGGAACTGACAATAGAAAAATTTGAGCATCAGATGAAGACCAAAGAGGATGTATGTCGGATTGCCGCATGCAAAATGCAGAGGAAGGATTTAGTGAGGGATAAAGTATGATTATCAGCAGAGTCAACGAAAAATATACTCTAAATTATCACATTGAAAGATGATCAAGCTAATCTCTAAGGTTGCATATGAAAGATAAGCTCGCCCTGGCTAAGTAGAAGAAAGCCTCTGCTAGTCTCACTGACCAATGTTGGTGGAAAAGACGAAGAGAGAGATGTTGGGGTTCATTTTCTTATGCTTGAAATATTTCTCTTTAAATGATAAGATACATTTTAGAAAAATAATATACTACTTTGAATAATACAAATATTACCTTAAAATGAATCTAACTATTCGGATGAGGAAAGTCATTAAGAATTTTGAGTCTCTTGATCCCAACTTTTTATATATATGTAAAATTACGATGTATGCGATTATATGTTTAATTTCCTTAATTGTTATTCTTAATTTGCATCAAAGTCAAAAACTTGATCCAAAGCAAAAAGCTAAGTAAGTTTTCCACTATGAAACAAATAAGAATATAATTATAATATTTAAATATGGGATACTACGCAAGTATATGTATCGTTATCAAGTAATATAGAACTTTTTGATTAAACCCCGAATATCAAACTCACAAAGAAGACTAATAATATGCACTTAAGAAAACTAGAAAATTTAGATGACAAAATTCTACTTAGCAAAATATTTTTACTTAAACTTAAAATGTTATAATAAGAATGAAAATTTGATTCTTTTTGTAATTTTTCTTTTATGAAAATAAAGTAAACAACTAATTAATTTAACTAAATATTTGCAAGATGAAGGCTACATAAGTAAAATATCTTTTTCCTTATTATGAATCAGCAATAAGTATAAAAATTATGTTGTGGAAGTATGTTAAATGTGTTGTGTCAAATATGAGCAACAATATTTTTTACCCTTACTAGAGATGCTATAAAGAACATTGGCTGATCTATAGTTTGAATAGTTCTGAAGACCGGTGACCAAAGAAAAATATGTTGAAATTTTCATACCTATTTTATATTGTTTTTGATGATATTGCACTTTAAAGAAATGTATTTTTGATGTTTTGTTGCAGGAATGATGAATTAGGATCATTGGAGCAAAAAGATGCAAAAATGAGTGAATTTGGAGCGAAAAAGACCAAAATGTGAAGAATTGAACTAGGGCGCCGACGGTGAGCCCAACAGTGCCGACAGTGAGCCCAACAACGTCGACGACGAGATTTTCCCGAGACTCCAGAATGAATTCACTTAGAAGGCCCGTCGACGGCGCCCTCGAGGCG